GGCGGCGTGTCCGCTTCGCGCAGCGCTTCGCCGCGACGGTGGGTCCGCCGCCCTGCTGGGGAAGCTTGCCGTCTGCCCCTGCTCGGGGCTTTCCCACTCCGCCGCCTCCGCCCTCCCCGGGTCTCTCCCGTAACGCCCCACGGAGGACGCCGCGGGTTCCCGCAGGGATTAAGGCCTGCTGCTTTTCGTGCGTGTCTTGCCGCTGGGGAGCGCGGCAGGGCGTCGGGGGGGAGAGAAGCCTCTTGAGACTTGACAGTTTGGAGTTCATCGGTAGGATAGCGTCGCTTCCATTGTGTATACGCCTCTGTTACAGGGGACTGGTGCTTTAGTACGTTATGCAAACGCGGCCAATTGCTGTTACAGTCTTGTTCCACTTCTGTGCTCTGCAAGAAACCTGAAAGTGTCCTGAGATGTCATTTGTACCTGATAGGAAATCTTCTCTTAGATAAAGTGCTTGGGGAGAAAGGAAGGAAGGAGCAAGAGCAGATCAATGGCTTGTGTGTTTTGTTCTGTTTGTTGTTTGTATGTTTGTTTGTTTTTCCCCACTGGGCAGGCATTTGATTTCTCAATTTTCTTCCACTGTTTTAGTTGCTAATAAGTGACAACGTGATTGTCCATACTTCAATTTTTGTAGCAACTTGAAAAATCACTGGCTTTTTTCACTGTTGAAGACTGCAAGCACAGTTAGGAAAAAGAAAGTAAAAATCACCTGGCTTATGTTTTTGAGATTTATTTTTATCACTGTTTTTCTAGAAATATTGTCTGTTTAAGCAGAAGTTTTCAGGTCTTTTATTTTTTTTTTTTTTTCCTGCTATCCAGCCCCACAGTTTTATTATAAAAATCCTTTTCACCTGTAGCTTTTTCATATGTTAGTGGTTTGGCTATTACAGTTTACAAATCGTTCCATTTTATTGATTTTTTTAGTGCTGGAAAGCTGCTTTAAACCGTTATGAGTGGAAGGATATACAGCATCTGTTTCACAATTTTCAAATACTATAGTTAATAGCTTTCATAAAGCTAAATTACCATTTTGTGAACAGCACATCTGTTGAGGTAAGGCATCATAGTGGTGAAGACTACTTTCTGTATCTCACCATCACGTCTGGCTAAGGTACAGTATTAGAAAGGTCTTAGTTATTTCAGTATCACAATCCTGTGCCCATTTTCTGTTTCTTCACTTGGCTTGCTTTTATCATTCTAAATGGTTTTTGGTTTTGTTTTTTTCCTTTTTAATACAGGGAGGGATAATTTTGTCTTTAAGCTGAAATTAAATACAATAGTTAGGGTCAGTAAATCTGTCATTATTGTTTGTTTACTTTAACTCCATATGAAAAGGTTTATAATTTTACTTCATTAAGTAGGCTTGAAATTTGGAGGTCTGAGTGATGTGAAAACACAAGGAGAGAGCTGTACACTAGAAGTACAACGTGAATTGTTAATAGAAATTTCCTAGGCATAGAAAGGAATTACAAATCTCTCTTTAATTAAGCATGGATTGTATGTAGGTTTCTGGGGTTTTTTAAAAAATTTACTGGTGGCTACTGTCACTTGAGTATACAATAATGCTAATAATATGTCTGTGACAACTTTCATCCCAAAATATGCTTCCATCAATGCTACTTGAAAATGAAAGGACTTCTTTAGTAAAGGCAGTAGTTTGTCCCAACGTACATGTCTAGCTATTTATTTGAAGGTAGTAGGGATACTGTGTCTAGCCTTGATCTTTTGTTTTCTGAAATTATTTAAGCCTGTATTTGGGTATGGAAGAAAGTGATGTCTAAATTATGCACTGGTATAAGAGCCTTTTTTTAATGCTTATTACATTATAATAGCACAAAAAATTTTTAAAACATTGTTGAGCTTTCTAAGTCATCATTTGCCCCAGACATGGTTAATCCAGCAGGACTCCACAATGCCACTCACCTCCCTAGCCGTTTAATTTCTGCTGCCTTCCTTGTGCTGACAGTATTGGCTGTGCAGGGAGCCAGATCAGGGAAATTGATAGTATTTGGTTGGTGTGACACTCAATAGAAGTAAATAATAATTTAAAAATCAATCTGTTGAATCATGGACATACTTTTTTTGTTTTTCTTATGAATGTCTTCTCAGGTAGAGAAGAAGAGAGACTGTTTAACAATTGGTATCAAAATGGTCTTGTGCTGGGTGACCCACAGAGGAGAGATGAGTCGTAGTGGAGCAGCTCCAACAGAGAAGGAAATTGGATAAAAAAAAAAAAATGTGGGATGAATGAAGAACAGTCTAAAGGATCTCAGCCTGTGATTTTAGGTGACAGTAGACCAAAGGACTGGTAATGGCAGTGGCTGCTGTTTCTTCTATTCAGGCTCTGGTTTTGTAGCTCTTAAGAATGTGTAGTCTGGGGGAAATATTCAGGGATTTTTAGCAAACAGTATCTATCTATCTGTTGTGTGTACATCAACCAGCATCTTTGTAACTGTTGAGTGCATTTGCTGTGTTTTTATTCTTTCCAAGTAGGAAAGGTTGAGGAGAAACAGACAGAGGTGAGGCCCATATTTAACTAGGAACTATTCTGAAAAATCTCTTAATGGTAAGTTCTGTACTGAATAAGGCCCTGAAGATGTGGGAGTTTTTAATGTAAACGTCTAGGGAGAAACTCTGAAAGTTAACAAGCTTATCTTTAATTTTGTTGCAGAACTGAATTTGAGTTTTGTGAAGGGAATATATTGTTGAAAGTACATATGAGAAGACTGCTCAGTGAAGAAGATATGGGTGTTGTCTTAAAGCAAACAGCTGACTGGTAAAATTGAGGCTAAATAACTGCCTCTTTTTTGCTTTTTGTAAGGTCAGAATGATTCATATGTTCCATTATAGGCTTTCCTCGTCAGGCCAAAATCTTTAAGATTTCTCTTTGATGCTGAAATATAACAGAACCTTCAAATACCCTTCCCTCTTGTCTTGGATTGGAGCAGACTATGTCTCATCCTGGTACAGTGACCTTGGTTATACTAATCCAGCTGAATTCAAGGTAAATAACTCTTTTCAAACTGGCAGTCTATCACAAGTGGAGTCCCCCAAGGATCAGTCTTGGGCCCAACGCTGTTCAGTATCCTCATAAGTGATCTGAAGGTTGGGATCAGGTGTACCCTGGTGATACCAAACCAAGTGGGGAATTGGACACTTTGTAAGGGAGAGTCACCCTGCGGGAAGACCTGGTTAGGCTGGAAGCGTGGGCTAACGAGAACCCTATGCAGTTGAGTGAGGACGCATGTAAGGTCTTGCACCTGGGAAAACATGATCCATGAGTACAGCACAGGCTGGGATCTGCCTGGCTGGAGAGCACATCCGTGCAAAGGGACTTGGGGCTTCTGCTGAACAACAATCTCAATATGAGTGAACAGTCTGCTGCTGCAGCAAAGAATGGCAACAGGGTGCTGTGTTGCATCAACAAGGACATCACCAGCAGAGATAAAGACGTCATTATCCAAATCTACTTGGGGCTTATCAGGCCACAGCTGGAATACTGTGATCAGTTTTCATCCTCGCTATACCAAAAAGGTGTGGCCAACCTGATACTCTATAATTCTGTGATTTTTGCATTGTTGTGAAGTGGTCTCCTATGCCGAGTGGAAGTCACTTCACTTCCTAAAACTTCCTGCAGTTCTAGGTAGTTGAGTAGGTAAGTATTTTGTTCTTTTTAGTTGTTCTTGGCTTCTGCATTGTTCTGTTTTTAATTGGGAGAAATTAGAGAATTTGTGAAACAGTCGTTCGAGCCTGAGATTGTGTTCTTGCTTTTAAAAAGGAAGTTGGTTAACATAGCATGCTATGATAAACAGTAAGCAATTTCAGTAGTTATAATCATCAGAAACTGGAGGAACTAAGCAAACAAAGACCTTTATTTTGCCCAGACATCAATTTGAGAAAAGCTGTCTTAAACAGATTCCTTTAAGTTGTAAGTCAAAAACAAGTTTGCCGCTTCATGCACGAAAAGAGTAATGACATTGTAGGCGATAGGTGATTTAAGAATAAAAAGACAGTAAAATGGATCCTAATAGCATGTCCTCTAATAGCAAAATAAATCTTATTGCAACAAAACTGTTTAAGTTCCTAGGAGCAGAAAATGTATGTTCAGGAGACTTTTTTTCTTTTAATTGGATGGAGAGTACTTGAGCCATTGAGGCTTACTTAATAAACTCTGGAATGCAAGAAGAATGAGGGGACAGGCCCAACTAATGATGCATTCTGTCTAGAAAACCTAAACAGAATGACTGGAATAGCTGTGGCAGTTAGCCTTGAGATTGTACAACACATTTTTTTCAGGCCTTTCAGCCTAGAATTCTTTTAATTATCAGAGAAAGGTGCCATAGTTAATGTCAGCCAACACTTTTAATAGTAAGTGAGGCCAAAATGCTTAAGTCAGAATTTGCCCATAAGGAAGCCTTTAACTAATTAGTTTGGATTTTACATAAAGGAAATCTGAGCATTGAAGTTTTCAAGTGTCTAATGACTAGTTAGTTTGGTCTAGCAGACTTTTTCTGTTGAATGCAGCCAGTTGTTTTCTGAATAATCAGAAGTTGATGTAGTTAAGATTTTCAGGTGGCTTGTGTAGTGGAATAGATCTAGAAGAAAAATGATCAGGAAAATTTGTGAAATATGACTCAGGTGAACTTAATGTGAATTTTTAAATTACCAAAAGTTAGTCCTTTGTCTTAAAAGCAAATGCCTGTGATGTCAAAAGTGGAATCTAAAAGGAACCTCAGGCACCTTGTTGGTAACCAACTGACCATGGACTTCATTCTAGCAAAATAGTGAAAAGCTGGATCCGTAGATATATAGTGGATATCAAATGGAACTAGAGAAATGTTAGGCGTTTCTGTGTGGCGTTAGGTATGGAGTTCTCTGCTCTTGTCTACATCTCAAGATGAATCATCACAGATTTCAGGTGGTCATGAAAACCTGTCTTGTGGTTGGTTTATTTTTTTCAAAACTACCATACATAAAAAAAAAAGGCTGATTTTTCTTATTAGGGATGCTGTCAAGTGTTTAGATAAAAGCTGAACATGTATAATATCTAGCTAAAATTATTTTTTAGCTCCTTAATGTAGCAAACAGACCTGAGAGTGTAAACAGTCACATTGGAATTAATATATATTCCAACACTAAATGGAATTTTCCCAACAATGTATGGGACAGTATAGCATGCATCCTTCCAGTGTTTGCATAAAGTTTATAGATACTGACTAGCTGTCTGTTTTAGTGAGAAGTCTGGATGGGACCTGAGACTCTTAAGATGAGATTCTGTGGTGCATTTTATGCGCCGCTTCATGCTATTGACTGAAGGTCCTTCCAATTTGTCTTCAGCCAGCTTGAGTAACTCTGCTCCACAGCTAGGGAAATGAGGGATTGAGCTGCTGGATCAGACAAAGCAGGTGTTCATCTTGGTTGTGACCTTGAAAGTGACTGTAACTTTTAAAGTGTCAGCCTTCCTGGCAGTTCATGTGCCTGTCTGAATGGCAAGGAGCTGACCACAGAAAGCCGAAAAGCTCGTTTGGAATCGTTAACCTGGGCCAATCTTCTCAAAAGAATGTTTTGTTTGCAGTTTAGTGTATGTACCTTGCTCCTCTGTCTGCTTCACCTAATACACTGACTGGCCTTGCTGTGGATGGATACTTTGTTTAGCTAAATAATTCCATGTAGAACTGTAATAGCTTAGTTCCATCTTAAAGTTGTGTCATCACATGGTGAAGCCGTGAGGAATTTGTAGTAGGGGAAAAGGTAAAAAGTGAATGAGAGCAACTGATTCTAAGTTACTACATTGTAGTACATGGTGATAAATTCCAGGAGTGACTTTCTCCACTCTTTTAGTTTTATAGTGTTAAAGGTAAACAAACCTCATTTCATATGGACTGAAAGCAGTACTAGTTTAATAATAAGTGGTGCCATGTAACTTTTACCAATGGCATGTGTTTGCAAATGTTTTGCAAGAGTAAAGCTTTCTTATAGATTGTGTGCTAGCTGTAAGTTTTTTTAACATCTTGGTAAGCTTATGTTCTTTGATGTTTACTTTTTAGGAGGACAAGTATACTGACAGCTTTCTATTTAGAGGGAATGCCAGTTTTACACACAAAAAAAAGTAGCTTTTCTTCAGAAAATACATAGCCAACTTCCCCACACACATAAACAGAAATATAATCTGATTGCATATAAAGAGTCCAAGTAAGCATTATTGCATCTTTTTCATTATACTTCCTCCTCCCTCACACTAGTAACCTTTAGAAGTTTTTGTTAGTGTTTTTGAGGTGTTTTTTCATTTCTCAAGAGAGACTGAGTGTCATAAGAAAAATTCATATTTAGCTTCAAGTCATTCTCCTTCTTGCCCCAAATACCGACACCCTTATTGTGCAGAAGTATGGAGGCAATGGCCCTGGAATAGGTTGTTGCTGTGTGGTGGGAGGCTGTTCTCATTTGTTAAAGCAGTTCATATGTTCAGGATTGTCCTTGCTTCTTATAGTTCAGCTGCACTCATTTTTCAAAGCAATAACCTAATTGCTTGTACTAATTAAAGCCTGTTAGCAAAGCGGCACGGTATTTAGGTCAGCTTTTCTTCACTGTCCTTTTGTGCCTGTGCCTCCTGTTCCTGGCATTTCCCAGTTGCTGCAGGTCCTCTTTTCAGCCTTGCAGCATGTCAGCCTTTGTTGTGATGCTTGATACTCTACTGCTTTCCTGCTTTAAGCCGCCTGACCCATTTTATGTATTGTCATCCACTGCAACTAGTAAAGACAGAAGGCTGGCAAAATTCAGGTAGAGTCTGTCAGAGATGTACACAACTAAGCTGGTTTTAACTGGTCGAGTGTAGAGTGGGCAGTCTGAATTAACCTTTGGTTGGAGGGCTTTGTAGTTTGGTGTCTAGTTTGCAAGCCTGATGAAGGTGCACAGAGCATTACCATCGAGCAGAAGAGAAGGTTAGCCCCAAGAAACTGTCTTCAGGTTCTCAAATCACTTGCTACTATTTCCATATGTGTACGAATGTTGGTCGTGGAACTCTGAACTGGAGTGGATTCTCTGTTTTGGGAGAGGGGAAGGCTAAACCATGGGGTATGTAAAATGAACTACATGTTGCTCTCCTTCAGTTATTTTTTTTTTTTTCCATGTTAGAATTTCTAAGTTGGTATTTCCAAGATGCAGTGCTCTTATGCAAATATAATATTGTAGATCAAACATTCTTAATGGGAAAAGTGACACATCTCTTGAGTCATACAACTTGTGCATTCGATTCAGATACACTTTTAAACTATGTCCCACGTAGCTGTGGAATTTGCTGGTGTAGCAGCACAACTATTTATCTGTTTATTTAAAATCTGTTCCACTCCACTCTTGAGGTAAGTCTTATCCTTAGCTTGGCCGTCATCACTTTTACAGTTCTGCTTTTTCTTCCATCTACCATGGCTGACTGTTCCACTCTTCATACAAAATTTTCTCCAGGGATTTCATTCTAACATTGGAAGGGGAGCTTGTCTGTTACCAGCTGACCTGATAGTTGTTCATGAGGATATTTTTCATCTTCCTGGAGAGGAAGATCTAGAAACTTTGGAAAGAAATTGAAGCTCATATTTGGACTTCTGCAAGGAGGGGAGGATATTTTTAAAGGAAACAAATGAGAACTACGGAGGTCTCTTCCTCAACATTGCTTTCATTATCAGTGTTTGTCTTTTCTGACAAGGTTAGACCATTCTCTGGGAACAGTTTTCTTGAGTTTAAAAATCAGTTAGCACATTAAGTAACAGCTCTAGGAGAAACTTATTTAAATAAATGTTTTCATGTTGTTTTTTTCCCCTACTAGGAAGTTCTTTCTGGAGTCGTGGTCATAACAAGTAAGGACCCAGTCCAGCACCAAGGTGTCTCCTTAACAATGGAAGGATCAGTAAATCTGCAGCTTAGTGCCAAAAGTGTGGGTGTGTTTGAAGCTTTCTATAACTCTGTCAAGGTAAGACTTGTGCAGGTTAATATCTTTAGCACAAAACCTCTGTATCTTTTCTCAAATTGAATTATTCCTTAATGGCTCTCAAGTAGTTACAGCACTTCATGGTATGTAAGTGATAGAAAGCAGAGAAATGCTCAGCATTATCTAGGCATAGATGATGACATTTTGAGGGAGGAATTTGCACTAATTGAGGCATTTTCTTTAGGGCTGAAATACAATAACATAAATAGTATGGTTACTGGATGATGCATTGAAGGACTGTGGTTTAAAGAAAAATAATGAATTGTGTGATTTTTATTTTATTTTAAATGACTGGGTGTAATTGGACTTTTGTGCCAGATCACTCAGTCTCACAGTATTTTTTGTGGAGACTAATGAGGGTGTGTGTTACCGGGCACGATACAGGACCTGCACAGGTTCTTCCATTGCTCCCGTGAGACACCAGCATTACATGTAGATCTTTAGGGTGGGAAAGGGCCAGAGAGAAGGTAGGAGAGAATGGCTTCCTGCTCAACTGACACATGTACTTGCAGATTCCCACTGCTACTATTAAGTGCCATAATTTAGAAAATGGGACTCCACTTTCCACAGTGCTTGAGACTCTGCTGTTTAGCCCTCTAAATATATTTTGTCATTATTATGACAAAACCGTAAAACAGATCACAAGTTTTCTTGAGGAAAGCATTCTTGAGATTTCATTGTAGGACTGGAGAGCTGTGTGTTGTGAAGGAGCAGCTGAGTTTCTGGAAATTGAGGAAGTCTATTGGAATTTAGTGGATGTTGTTGGCTCTTGAAATGCCACTCTGCTTCAACCTAAACCTCTTATTTATTTCTTCAGCCTATTCAAATTATTAACAGCACTATTGAAATGGTAAAACCAGGGAAACTTCCCAGTGGCAAGACAGAAATTCCATTTGAATTTCCATTGAACGTAAAGGGGAACAAAGTCCTGTATGAGACGTATCATGGTGTCTTTGTTAATATTCAGGTAAGGCAGTCATATCTTCACAGAAAATCCAAACTGTTTTCTGCAGAATGTATTCTAAGACGTCTGTTATTCCATGGAAGCAGAGGATAAAGTTTTGTGTTGAAGTTTTCATAGTGCAGTACATTTTCTCTCCTGAATTTGAAGAATGAGCAGAAAGTTAGATGCTTTGAAGTATGTAGCTTTTAAGCTTCCCTTTATTAATATAGCATTGTTCTGGTGTATTTTCTAGCTATAACTTAAGATTAAAAATCATGCCACATGTTAACCTTTTGAGTACTAGATTGTACGTAGTTTATAGTTGAATTTTTTTTTTACTTCCAGTTTCTAGGAGTAAACACTTTCCACAGGTGGTAACACTTCTTAAATGTGGGAAAAGAACCATCCTGAGAACTCAAAATACCATCAGTATAATGTTGCTTCTAAAAAATCATTCTAATTTCCGTTCCCTTTTCATTTCCAGCATTTCATTGGAAATCGTTGATGATAATGAAACTGATCAGATGCAGTAAGGGATGTACAAGAGAGCTCTAAAAGCATATTGGAAAGAGGGTCTTTGTGTTGAGAAAGGGTAGAACGTATTTGCCGTATTTGTTAAACTTTGTACAGTTCTCTTACAGACCTTTTGATCTAGCTCTGATTTTATTGTGAAAGAAGTTGCATTTTTCATTTTGTAGCCAATCTGTATAGTAGCCCATACTCAAATACAAATGTGTGTATTGTTGGCCTGGTACCAGTGAGACATCGTTAGCATAGTAGACAATCAATTACTGCTAATAGTACTTAAATATTAAAAATCAAGTGTACTGACTTACCAGATCCTTGTTAAGATACAGGGGTAAGTCCTACAGGAACAAGGCTATCTAGTGTTCAGTGTCTGTTTTCCTACATTCATCTGTGAGAAGCATCCTCAAACTAGAGGAAATCTTTCCATCACCTACTGTTTCAGGCCTTGCACATGGAGTAAATCTTTAAAGAATGATGGCATAAACAGAACAGTAACAAGATGTCTTGCCTGAAATACCTGTCAGAACTACGGTAACATGTATGTGATCCTCCTTATGTTGTAGACAACATCCATTCCATCTTCATGAAAAGACTGCACCATGGTGTCCTTTTGTTCCAAATGTAGCTGTGTAATTTAATAACGAAGAGTCAAACCAGTGTTGAGAGCTTGTAGCATCTTCAAAAACATGAATTTTTTGCTTTCCTGTGGAGAGGAGTAACATTTCCTGCCCAAATCTGTGTGTACTATGTGCTTGTAACAGAATCTTGCAGAAACAGTTTTAAATTCTGACTTTTTTGGTTAAAAGTTGTCCTTACCATCCATGAGTTTGGACTGGGTTTTGGTAGGTTTTTTTTGTGGGTTTTTTTTTCCTTTGAGGAAAAGTCTTTGTTCAGCCATCTCTTGAATGTATGTATTGTTAGACAATGATATTTGGTTTGGTGGTTTGTATTTTTTTTTTTTTAATTCAAGATAAAAATTGAAGGAGCCACTAAATGCCAAAATTTTCAGACTAGTGCTGATGAAAGAACTACTGAGTTGTAAAACTTCTGTGATTCCTCCCCCACTTGCAGCTCACTGAGAGTATTGGATTTGATGACGAAGTATGAAACCGTTAGCTATTTAGCTGAACCGGAAGTCTTATATTACAGTCTGAGATTTTAAAAAGACCCTAACAAATAAAGCAAAAACCCACAACCCCTCCATACCACCCTAGCCTATCAGAAGTAACTAAAAGACAGCTTCCTTTGGTTTTGGTCTACATGTAGATGTTTAAGTACTTCCCGTATCCTTTTTTTTTGGTCTTGGCTTTCTTCCTAACGTGATGTCTGTTGTTCATGGTAGGTATGTAAAAAATGGTGTAAGACTGGATGAGTTGTTTTTCATAATCCAGATAACTTGCCTATGGTCATTATCAGTTGTTTTAAGGTATACTTCAATGGTGAATATTTGTTTTGTCATTGCTACTCTGATCTGCATAGCTTCCCATTACAGGTTGGGGGTACGACATAATTAAAAGCTCCCCGAGGCTCATTTGTGCATAGGCACTCGGGGTCTCTGTAGGGAGGCACCAGGAACTGGAGTGGATTGGAGCTGAGTCCCTAGGCTGGGCATGCCTGGTTTTGCCTGTTCCTCATCAGTGAAGGAGTTAAAAACTGTCTTGTAAGGGCATTCAATGGATAAGTTATCGATGCTGAAGTGTATGATTACTGTGTCATACTATTTTTCAGTCAGTCATTTATGGCTCCCTTTTTAGGGATGAGAATGGAGGAAATTGGCAGCGAGTTTTTGAACGGTGAACAGCAAAATTAACCATGTTGCCTGACTTCACTGTACGTGGCTTTTAAGTTCAGCTGTACAGTTAAAGACAGTTCACCATTAAATATGCATATAACTCTTCCCACTGTTAAATTCAGTTTTACAATAAGTTTAAAATTAGAGAGGCTGTTACTGTATCTTATTGGTAATCACTTAACCAAAGTATGGTGAAAAGCACTACCGTAATCATTCTTTGCTGAGTGGAATTTGGATGCTGAAGCCATACAAGAACAATACTCTGTCAGTGAATTAGTCCCGCAATCTCATAGGTTGTTACGTAGCACAGCAGATATGGAAAGCATTTGCCACTTACTATGGGACTGTAAACACAAGGAAAAATCAACTTTTGTTTGGGAGCATCTAAAATCAGTGTATACGTCTTATCTCCTTCCCCTCTCCCTATCACTGGTATGTACATTGCCTACTGATTGGTTTTAAACTATGCCTCAAATATTAATAACAGTAACATTCTGCACATATGCAATAGAAAGATGAAAAGTTAAGAGATACAAAGGAAATCTTAACTAAGGCTCTTTGTTTCTCTGCCTTCTTATTCTTGTCAGTACACTTTACGGTGTGATATGCGACGTTCTCTGCTGGCTAAAGACCTGACTAAGACTTGCGAATTCATTGTCCACTCACTGGTAAGTGTGATTTGTATTAGCTATACAAAATTACATTCCCCCCAAGACACACTTTACGAGAAGTTTGGCAGTTAGGTTAGAAAACCAAGTAAAACCATTTAATTTGTAATAGCAACACCTGGAATATGTATGTGTAAAGGAAGCCCGCCTCAAAACAAAAACATCCAGAAGAGCTGGGGTGTCAGTTGCTTCTGATTACAATAAAACATCTCTCTTTTCTTTTAAAGAAAATAATGTGAAAAGTATTTGGATTATAGGATTGTGGGTTTTTGTACTGCACTGATTTTATTCTCTTATTCATACTTTCAGTTCAGAAACAACGGTGTGGTTAGATAAATGTTATGGCATTCTTCTAAACACCATTTCAGATTACCTAAGCTTCTCTTAGCCAAAAGTTCCAGGCACCCACGCTGCCTGTCCTAGAAATGGGAGTTTGCTCATAAAGAGAAAAAAGATCTGATTTCTGGTCTTCAGATGACTAATTATGATTTGGAGCCCTGACTCAAAAGTATCAAAGTTGGGACTGCATCAAGCTAGAAATAAGAAGCTTGTCAGCTTAATCGCCTTTGCTGTGAAGTAAGCCTATGGCTGGCAGTGTGCTGAGATAACTAGGCTGACAAATACCCCCATCCTGAGGCTAGCCACATGGAGACAGCCTTCCTCCTGTGGGGTTATTGCTGCGGGATGAGGTCTGACTGTCTCACAAGAAATGCTTTGCTACTTGTTATTTGAAGTTCCTGTGTCAGATTGGGTTTTAGTTTATGTTGACTTGTACGCGTGTCCAGAGCATCTGGTGTCAGTACAGACTGCAGTCCTAATTAAGTATCTCTTTTTCCACCCACAGCTTGCTAGAACGTACTGTTTGTATCATTCCTTTGAACTCTTAACAGGACAGTAAAGTATTAGACTCTTCTGTCTTACTTACAAATAATGGTAGAAATATTTCAGTTTTATAGTACCTTTTTTATAGATTTAGCTAAGTGCTATAAAAAAGTTTCCTGTTGGTAAGAATTCATTATTTTTTACAGTATATTATGCTACATTTTATTAGCCTGTTATTACAACTAAGCTACGCTTGTCAAAATAGTGAACAAATTGCATATTGTGCAGTTTCCTCATTTTCTTTCTTGTTCCACTACAACACTCCTTAGGTCACAAGTCAGTAAATCATGAATGTCTGTCGGGGTGGATTAATGAGTTTTTACTGCACATATAGTTCTCACTGTCAGTGCTCAATGTACCAGTTCACTTAACCTTATTCTTTGCCAGAATTTGTCATTTATGGGAAAATAGTCAGTCTTCCAACATCTTCCATCTTGCAGCTGGGCAGCAGAAGCTATTTTGAATTCCAAAGTAGTGAGGGTAGGTCCTAACTCGGCGTCCCAAGTTAAGCCAAGTGAAGGTGGTGGCCTGTTCTGCCAGCTCCCGCTTGCAGACGGTTGAGTCTCGTTGATGCTGTTCCGGCCACTTGTTGTAAATATGGGGGGAAAAGACAGTGCACCTCACTGAGCCAAGGATGGAGAGAGGGGCTGGTGAGGGGTAAGTGAAGCTTGTCTTCTGGTGCAGAGTACAGGCTGCCATCTTACCAGAGCTCAGGGCTTGTTCAGTCCCTTATGAAAGACTTGACCTACTGTTTTTGTGATAAATAGGATAAACAGATACTGCAGAACTGTAATAATGTACCCCCAGAATTGCTTTTCCAGTGTGGAAAGCTAACCTGTACCAAGTATTGTTAATTTTACAGTTAAAGAAACTGGAATACTAAGCCCATTAAATCGATGCTACACTAAATTCCATCAGCTGAGGATCTCCTGGTAGTATGAGGGTGGCTTAGGAGAGCTGAGCTGTTGTTGAAAGGACAGAAGAAAGAGTTCAAAGTGATCAGAGAAAACAAGAGGGAGGGAGAGTTTGTACAACATATTTGAAGCAACAGAGTGAGTTCATTTGTAACCTGCCCCTCTCTCCCCAGCCCAAATACTAAGTATTAATAATGAAAGGAAACATTGCAAGTGACATAGAATATGTAATTATTTGTAAATACAGAAATGTGAAGTTTACCTTTTTTTTTATACCATACACTTCATATAGGTAATTCATTTCTTATTTTCCATGTGCTTTAGAGTAGTTGACCACATCTTTTGATTTTGTTTTCCTTCTGTTGTTTTCTTTGTGGTTTTTTTTTTTTTTTTCTTCAGTGTAGGTAGAGCTTGTGCAGAAAACATACAAACTATGTGTTTGTTGTGGTTTGCAGTGGCAGACACAAAGTAACAAAAAATTGACACAGTTTTGTTCTACAGTTTAGGTTTGTGGTGCATTGTGACTTGTGTTTACATAATACTGTAATGTTATCTAATAACAAAGGCAGGAAATCTCAAGGTTTTTATTCTATAGATGCATGCTTTAAGCCTGGAAACTAACACATCCAACAGTTACTTGAGTTTGTTACCTTTTTTAATATTCTCTCTGTGTGTTTTGTAAACCATAGTTTACGGTTTAACTCTTGCATTACTTGTAGTCACAAAAAGGGAGACTGATGCCAAGCCCAGTAGACTTCACAATTACTCCTGAAACTTTGCAAAATGTTAAAGAGGTAAGAGTTTTCTTATTTTATTTTAAATGTAACACTTGTGTGATTCTGAGTGAGAAAAACAGAGGAACAATTAAATTGGATAATCAGCTTCTCTTTTTTTCCCCACTTTTCTCCTTTTTTACTTCTGTAAGCAATAAAGTGATTCTGCTTGTTCTCTTGTGGTAGTGGTGACTACTTGCCAGTGATAAGGTAGAGCTTTGTTCAGTAATGGTTAAACATTTTTCTCATTTTTGAGTGAAAGGTGGCAGTGAAGTGAGAAGAAACATTTTACACAGTGTCTAGCCAAGATACTTCAAAAATGTATGTTTTGGTCCTTGGTTACACCTTTCTTACAGCCCCATGTAGCTTTGGGAAGCCTGTATGAGTAGTAGTAGCTGTCCTGGTCATTTAGCTTTCTGAATGCTGGTTTCTGTTTCTCCACTGAAACCTGTCTTCTGTCTTTTCAGATATTCCTGTTGTGCTCTTTTTGCTAATAAGACTACTCTCCTGCTTTAGGTCTCCTGTCTGCATCCCAAATTTATGTTAGTTCCAGACTTCTGAACTTAGACCTACTCTTCCACTTGTTTTTCAAAATAGACCTTGTGATCAGCTGTTTGGTTGTTTCATGCTGTTGTTGACTTTACATATTCACAGAATCATTGTGCTTGGAAAGGACCTCTGGAGATTGGTCAGTCGAGCTCCTGTGCTCAGAGCAGAGTCATCTTGAGCAGGTTGCTCAGGGCCATGTGTAGTCAAGTGTTCAGTCTCAAAGGCTAGAGGCTTGCAACCACATGACAATGTTACAGTGTTTGACCAACCTCACAGGACCAAAAGAAAAAAAAAAAAAAACCCAAAACCAAACCATTTATCAGTAATTTTCCTTTATTTTGATTTGTACCCATAGCTTCTTGTCCTTTCAGCAGATACCACTGAGAAGAGTCTGACACCATCTTCTTTACTGCTTCCCCTCAGGTATTACACCTGTTGATAGCATTCCCCTGAGCCTTCTGTTCTGCAGTGTAAACGATCTAAGCTCTCAGCTGCTTCTTGGATGTCATGTGCTCTTAACCATCCTCATGGCCAAGTCCAGCAAACCTGTACTACTTGTACCAGGAAGCCCTGAATGGGACAGGTATCCCCAGTTTCATCTCACTAGTGCTGAAGAGATGGGGAGAATTGCCTCCCTCAGCCTGTTGGCAATGCTTCCTAATGCAGGTCAGGATGCAGTAGGCCCATTTATCCAGCCTGTTGAGGTCCCTGTGCAGGGTAGTGCAGCCAATCTTCCCAGTTTTGTTTTGCCTGCAGACTTGTTGAGGATGCACTCTGTCTCATCATCCAAGCCATCAATAAAGATGTAATATTTCCCCCAGTCACTGATGTACACCACTAGTGACTGGCCTTGGTCTGTATTTTGTGCTCCTGGTCACCAACCTTTGAGTCTGGCAGCTGGGGCTGTTCTCAGTCCACCTCAGTGTCTGATCTGCAGATCCAGCCTGTACTCTGTCGGTTTGTCAGTGAGGTTGTTAGGAGAAACATCATCAAAACCAGCACTGAAGCCAACACAAATAGTATCTACTGCTCTCCCCTTGCCACCAAGCTAGTTAGTTCATCATAAAAGGCACTCAGGTTGGTTAAGTATGCTTTCATTTTCATAAATTTATGATGACTGCTTCCAGTCACTTTCTCATCCTTTATATGTTTGGAAATGCCTCTCAGGGTCATTTGCTCCATGACTGTCCCAGGGACTGAAGCAAGGCTGACAAGCCTGTAGTCCCTCAGATCTTCCTAACTAAAGATGAGTGACATTTGCTATCTTCCATTCTTCAGGAACCTTTTTTGTTCATGACAGCCTTTCAAACATAATCAAGTTTGGCCTTACAGTGGCGTCAGTCAGCTTCCTCAGCATTTGTGGGTGCTTCCCATCAAGTCCCACGGGCTTGTGTACATCCAGTCTGTTTAAATGTTCTCTAACCTGCTCCTCCTCTACCTCTACTTCCTTGCTCCAGACTTTCCCTGTGGTTCCAGGGGCCTGGGGTTCCTGAAGGGAAATCTTATCAGTAGAGTTGGAGGTAGAGAAGACATTAAGTACCTCTGTCATTTTCATGTCTTTTGTCACTAGGTCCTGTGCCATAGTTAGTAGTAGCCTGACATATATCCTTGTCTTCCTTTTGCAGCTGATAGACTTTTAGATGCACCTTTTTGTTGCCCTTCAGGTGAGCTTTGGCTCTCCCGAAACCATTCTTGCACACTTGGATAGTGTTTTTATGTTCCTCCTGAGTCATTTGACCCCACTTCCATATTTTGTATACTTCCTTTTTGTGTTCATTAGTAGCATCGTGTTCATCCATGCAGATCTCTTCCTACCTTTGCTTGAGTTTCTGCATGTTGGTGTAGACCATTCTTGAGCATGGAGGAGGCACTTCTAGAAGCCCACGCCAGCAGCGGTCATGGCCGCGCTGGAAATGCGGCTGAGGTGGAGGATGAGCAGGTTGTGTCCAGCAGCCTCTCTCATCTCTGGAGACTGCTGCACACTCAAAGTGTCTGTTTTTCCAGATACAAGGGTGTACCGATTATTTGTGGTAAAATTGCATTTTGAGCCTACTGCCAAATACTGAGCTCTCAGCAGTCTGTTCTTCTATGAACCATGTTAGTATAGAAAGCATTTTCTGTTTCTTTTTGTTTTCTGTATCTTGATACTCTGTTCGCTGGCTTAGCAGAGCCTTGGTGGACATCATGAAAAGGCCCTGTCTTGTTAAAACCTCTTTCTTAAGTTTAATAGCAGACCCTGTGCCTTTCTTCATTTCAGGTACATAACTACAAAGGAAGTTCTAAAACCTCTGACATCTCTGATCCAAACAGATCTTGGTATTTAATTATGCAGCTGTCAGAAGAATGGTATTGAATGTATATGGTACCACAAGCAGTGGCCTTTTTTACTACTTTTAATGTTTATTCCTCTCCATGTCTCAGAAGAACATGTGGGTCTGAAGTGACTACCTGATGGACATGTAGAAAAAGTCACTTGTTTTGGTATATTTAAAATATTAAAATTCCAGTTCTCTGCTTGTCTGGAGATTGTGACTGAACTGTAATTTCTGGTAAACTACTGGAAAACTGATTAGGAGGTTTACAGTAGCCAGGAAAAGCACAAAGAAGTTAGTTGAAAAACCAGGATGGATTTGCTTGTATGTTCTTGATTCTCATGTTGGGAGGATTATATAATAGAGTGTAAACGATAAGTGAGAGAAGACCTAGGCAAGATTAAAATACGAAGAGTACTAACAAACTACTAAGGCTCTAGGAGAAATACACCTTTAAAAAACGAAGCCTCATAGACTAGGATTGAGGAAAACGGCCTCAAGTTCTCATTCCACAAGTTCCTTTAATCTGTGTCTCTTAGGTTCCTGGCTGCTGTACTTCCAGGGGTGGATGTCCCAGGGAAGCAACTGTGTTTACTAGTAGTGGTGATGAGAAGAACCTGTGAGGGATCATGCAATAAAAAAGCATTCTAGTAATACATTATTAGCACTCAGTATTTCCTAGGGTGGTTTTGTCAGGAATGGAACTTCTGTTATGTAAGTTAGGAGAAAATACCCAAGTGAGATCACATTTACTAAACACATGAAAATTCTTCTCTTTTTTTTTATTTCCCCCAAAATTTGATTTTTATTTTTTTTTATTTCCCCCAAAGATTTGAGTGGAACAGCTAAATTCTGCAGAGGTGTTTGGTATCTGAGTGAAGCAGTCTAAGCAATAGCTGAGGAGAACTTTTCTCTCATTGCTGGCAGCCAGGATTAAGAACCAAAACAAACAGAATGGGAGGAAAAAAATAAAAAGTTTGCAACCAGAGAGTTGGTTTGGAAGAAAGGAGAATCATTTACATGAGGAAGGAAATCTGAGGCCATGAGCAAAGTGGGAACAGATGGTTGGAAGGTAGGGGCTAACATCAAAGGTGTAGATAACAAAAAATTAAGAAGCATAAATCTTGCAAAAGAAGGGGAAGGTTAGAACACATTGCTCAAGCAGTCTGAAGAAAGCTGGATGGTGAAGGTATGAGCTGAAGATGTGGGTAGAAAACTTGTCTGTTTCAATATGCCTCCTGCCAGAACTTGGAATGTAACTGGGCCTTCTGGCCTACAAGTTTCTCTGCTGGCAGAGAGTATTGGTGATGCCTGCTGGCCTGAAATGTGGGGATAGGGGGACAAAATCCCTTGCTTCAGTCTTTTGTGGAAACTGATTTACAGCCTGTCATCCTTAATCAGCTATTCTTACTGCTCCTTCCTTACAGTAGGATGCATATCCTTCCTTAAATGTAGGATGCATATTGAAAAGTTCATATTATTTAAACTGAGGCATTTCTGAATTTCCAAGTTCTTAAATTTGCAACTTCTTGGGATTCCCTGTGTACTTTGATACTTGCTTTTCTGTAAGGTGGATTGTTGTTTTTTCTTAGTCTGCTCTCACAGTTGTTTTTTTTTTTTTTTTTCCTCTCTCCAATCTTTTCAGAGAGCTTCACTTCCAAGATTTCTCATCAGAGGCCATCTCAGTTCTACAAACTGTATCATTACACAGCCACTGACAGGGGAGCTGGTAGTGGAGAATGCAGAGGCTGCAGTCAAGAGTATTGAGCTACAGTTAGTACGTGTGGAAACCTGTGGTAAGTTTCTCTGTAAATGGAATGGTTACAAATGGCAGAAATTGCCACTCGCACTCTTCCTGCTTAAATATGAAAGATTGTCAAAAGCCGTACAATAAAAAGACTTGCAAAAAATTGGTTTGCACTTCAGGTGGAACAGTCCAGGCATGAATTTAAAGAACCTTTATAGAATCAGAGAATTCTTTAGGTTGGAAGAGACCTTGATGATCTTAAAGTCCAACTATCAAGCCAACACTAAGTCCTCTGCTA